CCATTGATATTTATATATTTAATTAGTCATAAGAGTTGGTAAGGAAAGGTGCCGCATAATTCAAGTTAATTAAGGGTAAGAAGCCACATGTCACATTTTAAATTTTAATGTAACCGCCGTGCAACCGCGTCGCTGATCGGTGGCTCAACACCGTCCACGTACGGATTTTAACTCGACGGCGAAAAGCGAAATCTCCGAGGCGAAGTTGCGAAAGCTCTCGGCAAAGTTGGTGAGCGATCGAAACGAAGAGACGTACTATTGAGAGAAAAAGAGAAAACGTCGATAATCGGAAGTGTAGCGGAGCGCTAGGGCTCCATGCACTGCAGCTGGGCCTTCGTAGGGAAGAACTCAGAGTAGGGTAACGTGTATTAATAATAATAGTGAAACCGAAGTGTGAATGAAGTTAATAACGATAACGGCGTCGACAATCTCTTTTATTTCCCATTAATGCCAAACTCGAACCTCGTGGTAAGCCGACGTTCAACATAACCCTATCCATAATCTAACGTATGGCGTCTAATTGTACGAGGCATAGTCCCGAATTGTTGTTCGTTATTGCGTATTGTCATCTATTTGATGGAATGCCAAAGATCCAGTGTGGTAAAATACTGGGCCGTGCCCATATTTGCCAGTATTGCTGAAATAGTTGGGATGGAATAGTTATCGTCGGTAGTTTTTATACCCTGAACCCATTTAAAATTGGTATAAAGACTATAATGTATTTGTGCAAATGTATGTAACAGGCAGAAGGAAGCATCTCCGACCCCAAAAAGTATATATATTCTTGATCGGCATCAATAGCCGAGTCGATCTAGCTATGTCCGTCTTGATGTCCGTCCGTCCGTATGTATGGTCCTTTTTGACTTTCCTTGTATCAGCGGCAGCAAGCCCAAATTCCAAGTATTTCTGTATACATGTACACACACACATTCATGCGCGTCTGCTTTGAATTCTATCAACAGCATTGCAATTGCGATTGTGTTGTTTTCTGTGCTGCTATTTTAATTCGTTTTTTTCTCATTTAGACCTAATTATTGGTGTGACTGTTAAGTAGAGGCGGCAGCAAGTAATGTAGTCAGTTGCGAGTTCGAACCCTGCCAAGGGAATATTTTTTTTATTTATCTTTATTACTACTTAAGCAAACAAGAGCGTAGCGCGAGTTGCATTTGGTGTTGGAATAAGAGGGTGCAGGGTATCCCCTAGTCGGGAGCTCCCGACTAGAACCTCTTACTTGTTTTATTTAACTTTCTGAAATCAATAACCAGAAGTTTTCTTTTGATTCGTCGATGCGTTTTTAGTTCACTGCCCAGCTGGGGCTCGCTAGAAGTTGGTGACGAAAAACGGCAACGCCTATTGGATATGGGTTTAATTATAATATCCGTATGTTTGGATTGTGGCAATGTTGTTAATGTTTTAGAGCAGAGACTTATTTGAGTCCGCGAAACCGTTTAACCTTCCTTTAAACAGTTTATTAAATGTTGCTCTATCACCAAACGGAACACCGCCTTCATCTATTTTGACGAAATTGACATTTTGGAATTTTTAGAGGCTCCTGTGCCAATATGTCTGATTGCTTTCCCTGCAAATGTACGTGAGATGTAAGCACGCGGGGAACTTCCCATAAAAAATTACAGCTTTAGGCGATGAACACGTCATCTTCAGCTGCTGTAGCCTGAGACTGGGCGGGAGTTTTGTCATCTTCTTGTCCTTCCTCTTGGCCCTGAGAAGTGAAATAAACTCTTTACCTTCTTGGCAAAGAGTAATCTGAGTTTTGTGGTTTCCTATTGAACTGCCATGAAGGATCTCCATGGGCTCAGTGCACTGGCTTTGATTTTTTTGGGTGAAAAAAAATGTTCTGAGTTGTTATTTTTATTTGAGCTTCGGCATGAGTAGTGGTGTAATGTGGGTTTTTACCCTGATTCGGTTGAGAATTACCTTGGGAATTGTTGTGTCACTACTTCTGAGAGCGCTTTCTCTCATTCTCTTCAATGATTTGGGAAAAACTTGTCGTGAACGCATAGCTTTTGTTGCTTGTGTGTTGAATGTTGAATGAAGATCATGTTGCATTTGGCAACCTGATAATGGTTTGAACACTTCTACGCTTCTGTTTTTGCCTGTCGCCAGGAGAAACAGTCTTGTTGCTTCCGTTCGAGTTCTGGGACACACTTGATTATATCAAAGGGCCCGTTGCATTCTATCTCCTCTATGATTTGATCGCGCTTATACTTTTATTCTACTTCTGGGGCGGCACGGTTAACAGATATAATTTCACTTGTCACCGCACTAAGTCTCGCCTAAAATGCAGCCGCTTGGTGTGACAGCCCGGCCCTAACTGCACTGTCTATTATTGTCACCATATTACGAGTCCATTTTGCCTGCTGATTTATTAAATGCAGTCTTGATCACTGAAATTATAGCTGGGTACAAATTCCACCGCAAGACCGGATGTTTTAATTCGATGACCAATTAGCAGTATTTGTCCCAATGCATCGACTTATGTTTTTATACTGAGCCAACCTCAGTAGGCAACATACATACCCTCATAGAGCCGGAGCTGAGTACATTCTACTTTTAGCGTTTATAGCTCTTTAAGCTTAGAGAGCGCCATTTTTTTCGTTCTCAATTTTGTGAATATCAAGCTGTTTATGTATCTATTTAGTTTTCTTTATCTAAATAATAATCCAAGATGTTAATGCCAAAGTTAAAGATAAAATATAACAAGAGGTACGTTTTTGGCTCCAATAAAATCTTCGTACTTTCAAACTAATTACTTTATAATAAAGCAGAACATACTAAAAATTAATATATGATAAGGTATCCTCTACCAGTTTTAAATCGGATTGGCTTGGACAAAACAAGTACCCATGTACGATTGAACAATTTTCGTCCAATCTTCTTTCAAAACTACTATATACACGATAGCCCAATTATTTCCAAGTTGCCGACGCTACTTAAAGCAATTCAACTCCATACCATCACTTAATCACCACCATGTTTAATTGTCTTGATTGTATATTTTGCGTTATATGCTGATCCAGTTCTCCGCCACCCTCGAAGCCCTTCATCTGAACCAAATATAATATTTGAACTCGTCAGAGAATACAACATTACGCCAAAATTCTGGAGGCGCATTTTAGTACTCTTTTGTGAATTCCAGCGTTTTTCAAGGTTTTCGTCAGAGTGTGCGTGATATGTACCCGGAATCCACTACAGCCTTTCTAACAGTCTCGGGTGTTACTTGTTTCTGATATGATCGTAGAAGCTCTCCGCTAATGTTCTTTTCTATTCTCCTAATAACCAACCGGTCCCTGTTCGTCAAATTTTGCGGGCGCCCAAATTTTGCATTATTTTCCACTTCACTTTTTTTCATATTTCATCCGTCCAATGATAAATTGTAAGGTGAAACGACTGAAATTTTGTTGCTTAAAGTGCATATTTAAAAAAAGCCAACTTTCCCAATGCTTAAATATTCGCGGCATTTTGGAGCACTATCTGACTACTTATTAAACAATATTATGAAAATTCTCAGAAAATATCTAAAACTGTGGACATTCGAAAACTACTGATACCTTTTTTGAAAATTTGTATGAAGCTAAAGTGGTAGGATAGTTCGGTGAACGAAGACTTTATTGGAGCTTAGTTTGTATTTTTTAACATATTGGATCATTTTCTTTTTTTAAAAAGGGTTGATTAACAGATAAAAAAAAACTGCATTTATATTTTTTGGTGCCCTTCTACAAGTTTGTTTTTTTTTTCGTAACAATACATAAGTAAGAAGACATTATTGGTATACTGTATATTCCGCGTGCGCCAAATCGAGGTGCTTGACATTTTATTGTGAGCTGCTACGGCTGCCAAATTGCCGATCTAGTCAAGTTATAACTTTTTTTTGTAGAAATGTTCGTTATCAGATAAACCTAAGTGTTGTCAAAAATCGGGTTTATTGCTAGGTGTAAGTTCTGGCTCCAGTAACAGATTAGACAGACAGAACACAATTGTAGCTCTTGTCATGTAAAACAAATATTTTGCGGAAAGCTTAAGCACTTTTTTCAAAAATATTTAAAGTGACCCATGAATTCAAAACACGCCTTATATGGCGACTTATATGTTATTCACAATTTTAAATGACTCGATTACGAATAAATAATAACAAACATATTTCAGAAAAACTATTGAACAAGTTTGTAAATTATCTTTTGCCTCATTTATTTATTATAAACGGCGGGGCAACCATTGTGTATCAAGAAACACATACATTCATACTTATAATTTTACAATTTATAATTGAAATGATTGAGCAGCTATGTATGAATAAAGAACAACTTAATAGATATTTCCAAATCAAAATGCTTTTCACCATTAACAAGCTGGATTTTACTTAACGCCATTGCAATTAAAACAAAAATTACATTAAAATTCGGTAAATAAAATTTACGTAATATACAGTGCATACCAAAAATGCTCCTTGAATTTCGTCGTCGCACAAATAAATTGCTTCTAATTATCTAAGCAGCATTGATCATATTTGGCAGCCTATTGACATGGATTTAAGTTTAGTTTGTTTCGTATGTCAATAAAGTTTACGACGCTGCAAATTAAATAGCAATTTCATTTTTATTTAATGAAAACCTACTCTAGCGTTTTACATAATTGAAAACCGTTTAAAAAGTTTTTTTAACCCTAGTTTTAACAGATAGGCTTTTTGTAACGATTATTTCCTTCGAATATATATATAGATATATATATTTATTTATACATATATAAATATATATAATTATTTATACATATATAAATATATATATTTATTTATGCATATATAAATAAATATGTATTTATTTATACATATATTAATATATATATATATATTTATTTATACATACATAAATATATATATATTTATTTATTTTTATAATTACATGCGAGCATTTAACACGATTATGAAAAATTAACGTGCATTTGCTTATTTATAGTCGTAAAAATATGGGGAATACAAGAAAGTCTGTATATATGAAATTGGATTTTTTATTAACCTAAATATACCTAATTATACATTTATGAATGAATGAAAGTTTAAAAGAAGGGTCCAACATATTGTATGGATTTACAATTCAAAAACCTATAAATAATATTACCCCGTCAACCGGAATAAAAAGTATATACAATTGATAAAGATAAAAATTGTATATATAGGTGCTTAAAATTCATGATAGTAGAAAATAAGCTAAAACTGCGGGTGTTGTAAAGGAGGCATTGTTTCAGAAATTGTTTGGGTTGCATGATAACGTCTCAAAAAATTGCTTAATAAATGTTGGTCTAGCTCAAAGGCTGATGAGTACTTTGTAGAATGTGGGATCAATTGAGCTGTAATGGAAGATGGTGATGATTTTAGGTCACTGCTGACATCATGTTATTGTGGATGTTGAGCAATTTGCTGTTGTGGTTGTAAATGTGGTGGTAAAACGTTACTAGTCTGATTAGCTGGGAGGGCCATGCTGCTTATGGTCTGGGAGGGTAGGGGCACAAGTTGTGAAGTCTGGGTGTGATGATAGTTATTCCCGACGGTGCTAACAGATGGCTGTTGTATCATGTGATGTTGGATATTTAATTTGGGCCCGTCTTCCGCTTTTTCTTCCTCTCGACGCTTCAAGCATGCAGCCTTCGGATTCAGATTTCGTTCTCGGACTTGCTGCTCTAGTGTCATAATTACCTCTACAGCCATATTAAGGATACCCAGCTTAGTTTGAGGTTTATCAGATTTCAGGTGTGTCATACACATGCGTCCCAGTTCTTTCAAAGCCTCATTAATATCACGTATACGAATGCGTTCGCGAGCATTATTAGCCTGACGACGTTCCTTTTCGCGTATAGCCTTCACAGCTGGCTCGGCGTCATCGTCATCGTCAGCAGAGGAGCAATACCTACGTGGTCTTTTTGAACCTTTTGTAACCTGAGAAAGCTGTTGAAGCTGTGATGCGTTTGAAGGTTCCAAAGAGCTTGTAGGTTTTGTATCAGAAATTTCTAGGTTAGAAATGCTAGAACTTGTAGACACACCTGCACCTACATTACTGATTACAATTTGCTCTTTTCGTTTTTTAGTTGGTTTTGTTGTTGCGGATGTTGACGTCGATGCATTTCGTTCCATTTTAATATTTGACAAGCCAGTACCTCCGATTGTTTGAATTGCAGTTGCACCAGCAGCTGGTGTATTTAATGATAGAACCTCATGCGTAATGGTATTTGATGAGTTAGGTACTAGTGCGGCATTTCCAGTGGAGCTACCACCAACTAGATGGGACGAAGGTGAATTGGCCACAAAGGAAGATAACGTTTCAGTATTGTCCATTGAATTAAGAGATGTATTAACATTTGATAACATTTCTGGTTCGCAGTGGTTTCGTAGAACATTGAGAGCATCGTCTAAGCGTTCTTCCATACGTGCGCCTTGAAAAACAGAAGCCATGGTATGTAAGCTGGTTACAGGCACCATATCGCTTGTATAATTTGAAGCACCACTGCCATTCATGACAGAATGGCTCCACCCAGCGTTCCCAGAAACAGTTCCATCTCCAACTCCAGATTGTGTTAACGGAGGTGGTGAATTAACAGGTGTTGATGGGTTTGAACTAAAGCTGCTACTCTGGTCGGCTGCTGCAGCCGACATGTATATTTGCTGACGCAATGACGCTGCCGAAGAATTACCAGCACCAGATACTTTCACACCTATTCCACCAAATCCGTCGGTGTTTTGCATTGCAGGACTTAGTTGTTGATTGTGATGGGAATGTGGGTGAGGTAGCGGTGTATGATTCAGGGAATGATGGGCAATTGGCCCAGCAGAAGACAGAGAGCTATGTTGTGCTTGCACTGCTGTTTGATTGTGTTGTGGTGAATTGTACACTGCTGGGGAGAGCACTGTCGTTGCTCCAATGTTTGGTAAACTACCAGATCCACCCCGAAAAGAGCTCATAGGCGGAAGAGATGTCGATACCGGGCTGTGCACACCAATCTGGCCACTTTCACCACCCATTTGCATTCCAATACTCGTACTTGATAAACCCTCAGTATTATGCACTTGTTGATGATCCATAGTATGTGAAGATATTGGTGCATTGCTTTGATAAGATGTTTGGCCCATATAATTAGAGCTGCTGTGCATTTGTGATTGATACCATCCTGCGCTACTAGTTGGGCCGGAATCAAAATACTGGTCAACCGTTGATGTATTCGCAAACCTATGATTGCTTCCGTTGGCATCATGAATGGAATTAAAGTCACTTGGGTATATTCCGTTTTCCCCAGCAAGGCCTCCATATGGTGAGTGGTAACCCCCTCCCCGTTCAGTTCCTACTGTTCCTGGGGGTTGCTTATTTGCTATTTTGTTGAAACAGTTTTGAAACACTTCATACAAGTGCATTGGTTCATCATCGCTGGTCGCCATTCTTTGTGATTTATGAATGATAGCTGACCAGCTTATTCTATTCAAAAACCTGTAATTAGACAATTATTTCGGTTAGCTTTAGAAGAGTTATTATTATCAGTTTAACTTAGTTAAGATTTAAAATAGAACGGAGAGCTTTAAGACCTTAGATTTAACAGTTGGTAATAACAGAGAAATCATATTTATAGCTGCGGGTATATAAATTTAAAGCCTAATGTCAATTGCACAACATTTTGAATTCAAACGGTAGTCGGTAGCCAACTGTGAGATAAGTAATGGACTGTTTTACCATCAGTCTTAAGACTGAGGAATTTTGATAGACACGATAGTCTTGATAGACATGATAGTCAAAAAAAAAAATATATATAAATATCACTTTTCAATTCGCAAATCAGCTTTTTGAGCCGCTGAAACCTATGTCTCCCCTATAAACATGTAAGGTGAGCAAAAGTTGAGCAGTTTGGCCTTCATAGGTTAACTTGACACCAAGAATGAATGAAATTAATGTCGGTTTATCATAGATTACAGGGAGCCTTATTCTTATATACAAGGCACAACTTTACATCATCGGCATGCGATACTGAGGGAAACTCATTTCTGTAAAAAGTAATGTGTAGTGGGCAGAGTTGACTTCCTTGGGTAAGCCCAGAACTGACCTGAATACATTGAGAATATAAGTTTCTGAAGAGAACCTTTTGGATTCCATTAGTCTGATGCTCTGGGATCCAGTTGAGATGACTGACTAGGAAGCCGAGAATGCATAATTAATGGACAAGCAAGGAATAATTATTACAACTACAAATTCTACTAGATAAATGGCTCAGTTAGCTCTAACGAATGAACATGCCTATTATATAAATGTATTAGAAGCTCGATCGCATCCGTAAATATAGACTGAACTATCTTAGATGTCTGGTTTTAATTAAGTTTCGGTAAAAGCGATAACAATCGAAACGAAAGAAACAAAATTTTTGTAGAGGTTATTACCTCTAAGCTTACATTTAAACATTTTGATAAGCAAGCAGAAGCGATGCAGTTCGTTTTTCGACGCTGTAACAAAGTTGCGGTTCCACTAAAAGAAGGTGGTAATAAATTCGGAGTCCGATTTTTGTTTTTTCCTTGTATTCTTTTTTCATGAAGTGTTGTGGCCAAAAGTTTTTATAACACCACGTTCGCTCACCACGTCTTGTTTTCTTCTCATTCCGATGTAAAATATTCGGAAGCCGAACTGGTGTCCGGTGATTGGCAAAAAAGGTAAGCTGCTGAATAATCGGAATTGTAGGTTGCAGATTTGTAGTCGAAAGCTGAAGGGCAACAGTAAGTCACGAAGAGTAAACATTAAACGCCGTGACACTCACCCAAAAGTTTTTGGCTATTGTATTGAGATTCTAGGACTGTGAGCTAATTATTTAGTTTGCAACGATCAGACCCTTGATGCTTGTTCTAGTCTGCCGGAAAATTTTCCACATCTGCCCATTAATCTCCCTTTAAGAGTTACGTTATTACAAAGCCAACGTAATACTATTGATTGATTTGCAGTAATCTGCTTTTGGCAAGCTTTTTTAAAGCAGCTAATTTTGTGTTGGATTTTGGGTAAATGGGTAAATGATGCACCAACGCAAACCAAGACAAAGAGTATTAAATAAATATCCAGTAAGAGTAGTAAGAGCGTAAAAACAACAACGAGCGTATGATCGCAGAATAAAGTACAAGGGAAAAAGAAACTGCGAGAGGGCAATCTATAGATTATCGCTTGCGCAAAAATATGAAACAAAAAGAGCCTACACACAGAAACTGCTCAAAGCAAGCGTAAACACAAAAAATGTAAAAATTAAAATGTTGAAATGCACAAGGCCCAAGCATGCACTCCCCAACTAAACCAAAAATCACGAGGAGACAAACAGATTCATCATTAAATATTACTCCGATGTTAATATGTCTTATATTTAAAAAACACAGAGAAACTAATAAATGCCGGCTTTGGTCAAATCAATAAGTGCCTTATTCAAAAACATTGTATTTTACCGATCATTCCACCTCTGTCATAAAAGCATGAGGTCTTCGGGTGGGATGCCAACGCACATTATCAAAGGACTTATAAATTTGTGGAGCGCATACAGGTACGGAATCACAGAATACAATAAAAACATAAGAAACGATACTCCTGGTGTATCTAATGCGAGTGTGTAAAGACACTCCCAGCAGCTGCTGGATGTCAAAAGGTTGTAGCGAAATGCACGTTAAAGAATTTCCCACACACAGGACTACATTTACTTCCCAGACTCTGGAACAATCCTGCTGTTGGACCATTTGATTGTTGGTATCTTACAAATTCCCTGGGGGCAATCAGCTATTACGAGCCTCCTAAAACATGGTTTCGCGATTATTCTGCGTGCATCCCCTAACAAATTTACTCCAATCAATTTTTAATAGGGATACCTTCCACACTCTTGGAAGAGAACCAATGAAGCATTCATCCCAGTAAAAGGGAATCATCCTTTGAACCAACCCGAAACGACGAACTTATCTGTCTTCTTTTCTGGACCTGCATAATCAGGTAGACTACATCACACGCAATTCGCTTACTGGGCACTTGACCGATCCAGGAATGGGCGACTTTTACAAAGCAGTGAAAGTTCCACTTTCACCTGACTTTAGAAACATCCTGGACCATAAATGGTGCCCAAATTGCCATTAAATAGCATGCGGCTTAATTTATCAAAAAAACAACTAACCCGTCTAAGAGATACCCTGGACTTAAGGTATGTACTACCATTCAAAAAGAGGCTCCAGTCGGCAGTTTCCGACTAGGGAATCCCCCGAACCGTCTTCTACCAACACCAAATGCAACTCGCGCCACAAACTCGTTTGCTTTACCAGTAATACAAATAAATTTAAAATATAAATTTACCCATTAAAACTGAGTAAAAAGGGTACAATGTATTTGTGCGAATGTATGTAACAGGCAGAAGGAAGCATCTCCGACCCCATAAAGTATATATATTTTGGATCAGCATCAATAGCCGAGTCGATCTAGCCATGTCCGTCCGTCCGTATGAATGAACCAAAGGATCTCAAAACCTATAAGAGTTAGATACTTTAAATATTGATCGTAGGTTCTTCTAGTGCCCGCGTAGTACGAGCCGCTATCACCCATAGCTATAAATAAACTAATTTTAACTACCCACCAATTTAGGCCACAGTTTTATTCAATTGAATTTTTGTGAATATACGAATATTCTATATCACAATAAGATCTACTGCTGCAAATTTAATCAAGATTGGTTAAAAGATAAAGAAGTTATTGAAGAAAATGTGTACCTATAATGAGACGTGCTTGCGGCATCTAGCGCAAATTGCAAGAAATTATGTACACATGTACACACACACATTCACGCGCGTCTTTAATGAATTCTATGTGTATGTGTTGATATTTTAGTTCGTTTTTTTCTGGGCGAAAATTAAAATCAATTTTTAAAACAAGAAAAATTGAATTTGTGTTTGATCAAACCATTAGCAGCTATATGATATAGTAGGCCGATGAGATGTGAGAGAAGAACCAATTTTTTGCCTCTATTCAAATTTGACCGGAACTGGTTACAATAAACAAAATATATTTAAACACATATCTTTATTATCGGCTTCAATTGACTCCGCTTGAGCGAATACAATCATTTCAACGGTTCACCAAATTTTTTCCATACGCATTTTATGGGCCTCAACCAGGTTGGCATTTAGTTTTGTGCACAAATTACTGTTTGTGACCTCAATCGATTGATGGCGCTTTTTCCGGAGCGGATATTTGAGTTTCGGAAGCAAGAAGTCACAGTGAAGCAAAGCTGGTGAGCACGGTGGTGTAGGGTGAACATATTCAGGTCTTTTACATTAATAAAAGATGTCTATCCTTTATATCTGTAATGCCAACACGACGTTTTTGTTTTTGGCAGACGCAATAGTTTAGTTAGTTGTCAACTCGTCTCAATTATTTCAAAGGTAAGCAAAATAACACTTAGATTATTTATTTAATTAATACGTAAAAGCACTCCTCTTAAGCGAACATTAATTACACGACGATCGCTTTCGCGAAGCAAGCTTACACAAAAATTAATTTGGAAGAGATAAGATAAAATGTCAAAATGAACTAATATTCAGGCGTCAACAGGCCGCTAAGAGCCATTTTCAAAGATCTTTGTTCAAATCACACTTTTCGGCAAATCCTTATTTCTTGGTATATATGAAAATTAAATATTTGATGAGCGACTTTTCGCGTTCAAAATAATTTTTCTTTATTAAGTATCACTGGGACACCTTTCAAAATTTTTGCAGAATCCAAGCTTACTATCTGGCAAAAGGCGATTTAAAGACTTTTGGGCTAAGATTTAAGCTTTGTCTGCTTGGCTTCAAATTTACTTTCAAAGCCCCACATTGAAACTTAATGAATACCTATAAATGTATAAGCAACCGTGAAATTATGGTCAAGATATCAGTATAATGCAACATTCGTTTAAAATAAGGGTGTCCCTGATTAAATAAGCGGAAAAAAACTAGGAACCGAATACTAACTGCAGAACTACATAATGTAATGATTTAAATTCGTTAATTAATTGAATTATATTACAATATATCACATTGCTGTTTTCATGCAAACAAGGTTTTATCATCTTCTTCGGCGTTACTGTGTAAATTCTTTCCGAGTGCGACAAAATGGTGGTCACAAACCGCGTGTACACTACCAAAGCTACCTTTTGCAAATTAGATAGCGAACGGATCGTGTGTCCAAGGTGTCAGACGCACTCTAGCCATCTGAAGCCAATGACTGTGGTTGACGTCCAGATATACTCATCTACTGGTTGATCGAAGAGAACTTCCAGTGTATTAAGGTGATTAAAGACCCGTGCCAGCCAGATGTTGCCGTCTTGGGATTGGATTGTGTGGAACGATCAGCGAACTCGTCCTTTATTTCATTCCGACAATCGATAACTTTCCCCGTTTCCAAACAATCGATAAAAATCGCTATCGAAATCCTGTTTTTTGAGCAAATCTCTTAGGTTTTAGAAGCTAGAATCCAATTTGACATGTAGCTTCCGAAATAGAATGCACAGATCAAGTAACCCTAAGCCAACACCCATTAGTTGTAAATCAAATAAATAAATAAATTGGAAATATTCCCCAATTTAAGCCAAAGGCTTAATGCAATTGTCTCTTTGAGAATATACGCATATTTTATCGCACGAAAATATCTTCTGCTGCAAATTTCATCACGATCGGTAAAAACACAGAAGTTATTAGATTTATGGTTATATATATATCGGTAGAGCATGTGTTTGCTGCAGCTAGCGCTAATTGCAAGAATTTCTGCATACATGTGCAATTGTATCGTATGCTTTTCTCTGTGTATGTGCTGCTATTTTAATTCAGTTTTCGTTTTCATTCAGTGGAGTATGAGGCAGTGGCAAGGTTGAATGGAGTTGCCAGTTCGAGTCCGGTCCGGTGAAGCAATGTACATGTAATGCATTTTGTATATTACATACAAAAAACCAATAAAAGGCTCTAGTCAGAAGTTCCCAACTAGGGGATACCCTGAACCATCTTTTACCAACATTAAATGCAGCTCGCTATACGAGCTCGTTTGCATAAGCAGCAATAAAAATAAATTTATAAAAATAAAATAAAATAGTACCCTCAATAAGGCTGGAACTCGATACAGATCACTCTACGATAGCTATAAACTAAAACTTTATATATATATATACTAGCGGGTATAACCCGGCCTTGCCCGTGGAACGTATGTTATAAAATCAATGTTCTCGAACAAATTTGAAATGATTTTGAAACTGATCGGACGGACGGTAAACAAATAACTTTCATACAAATGTTTTCCGCCAATTTACCACTGTTGCGAGTGGAATTTCCCAAATCGCTGAAACACTTATTCATTACATTCTTATGTAGAGCTTTGAAAATAAGTTTGAAGCAAATCGGACACAACTTAAAACTTCACCCAAAAAAATCTTTAAATAGCATTCCCCCCGAAGAAGTTTGAATTCTGCGAAAGGTGTGAAACACGTCTCAAATGATTTTTATTATAGATCTCTGGAAATGAATTTGAGCGCGAAACGTCACCCACCAAATCTTTGACCTCCATTTCCACCAAGGAGGAACGGATTTTTCGAAAAGTGTGAAACACCCCTCAAATGAATTTGAACAAAGATCTTTGAAAATAAGTTTAAGGCCGATCGGATGGTAAACAAAAAACATTACTTTACACATTACATACAAACGTTTTTCGCGATTTTTCCACACTTGCGGGTGGAATTTCCCGAAACCCCGTCTTAACGTGCACCTACATCACATAAGGTAGCTAAAGTGAAAATTTCAGCTTCCTAGCTCTTACGGTTTGGGCTGTGCGTTGATCACCAATCAGTCAGTCAGTCAGTCAGTCAGCCAGTAAGGACAAACAGTTTTATATATAGAGATTATTTATGAAGCTCTTAAAACCTAAGATATTTGCTTAAAAACAGGATTTCAATATCGATTCTTATCGATTGCTTGGAAACGGTGCAAGTTATCGATCATCAGAAACAAACTCGTACTCCGCGGGCACTAGGAGGACCTACGTTTAAAACCTGTCTCTAGCTCTTAGAGGTTCAAAGATCCTTGCGTAAATACATACGGATGGACGCGACGGACATGGCTAGATCGACTCGGCTTGTGGTGCTTTATGTTTCCTTCTGCCTACATTTACATACATTTTCACAAATACATTATACTCATTTTCAATGGGTTCAGGGAATAATTATACATTTTGTCGTATCTGGTTTTTGGTTATGCTGGCCAAACTGAAACGCGGACTGCCTTCGCCCTGTTTTACCCTGATCCGATCCTACTTGCAGGGTCAATCTTTAAGGGTAGAGGTAAGGACGGAGCAGTCCCTCACCCACTTTATTGAAGCTGGGGTTCCGCAAGGTAGCGTACTATGGCCGTTCTTACGCTCGCTTTTCCCGCTTCTGCCCCATAATCAGCGCCACATTCCCAGTTTTTGCTGAAGATGCAGCTAAGAACTACGTATACATTCTCCGCAACTGGGCTCGACCCAGGAACGTCATATCAGGCCGGGCTAAAATCATAAAAGTATACTTCACAACTAGATTAGGGGAACTCCTAGATCTCAGGCTAAACGGACCAACCTTAAATCAAGAGTGAAACAAGATACAAACGCTTAACTTTCGTCAGCCACATCGTATGAACTGTTTTACGCTGTTTACGCAGGTAATTAACCTACAAGCTGTTGCATCTATCGGTCGATATCCCATACAAATCTGAGGCTTGGATGCTACATCTGATCGAAAAAGAGTGCAATCTCTTCAAAGCAGGACTCTACGCATGATGGCAAGAGCGATATATCTTATTCCACAGAGACGTGAAGATTCTCTGGGTCGAATACCTAATCCAAAACCATAGCGCTTTATTAACAATTGGCTAGCATCTCACACACAACAGGCTCGATAAAAACCATTGGCCTTCAAACCCAAGTCGAAAAGTGCACACGTATAGTAAAATAATAATAAAGAATTGTAAGATTTTAATCTTTGTTTGTGATGTTTTGTAGTACGACCTATAGATAATACTGATCTTATTTTCAAAATACTGATAAATTTAATTTTTTAAATATTGCAAGCCCTAGATATTATATACATGTTGCGTGTTAAATCTGATCAAAACATAAAAAAGGCCCGTAAAAATTTAAGTATAGCCGCACTATCTTAAAATGATTATCAGATTTATTTTTTGGTTTGTGTTACCATTTTTACCCGTTTTAGCGATTGGCTTCAAACTTAATTTCAAAGCTCTACTTATGAACTATCTGTTTCTGCAATTTTGGAAATTCCATCCGCAACAGTAGAAAATTGACGGAAAACAGTTGTATAAATCTTTTTTGTTTACCATCCGATCGGATTTAAAATCAGAGGAGATAAATAGGCGAAAGCCAAACTGTGGTAAATTGGCGGAAAACGGTTGTATGAAAGATTTGGCTACCATCAACAAATTTTTCAAACTTATTTGTAAAGTACTACATAAAAACTAAACGAATACGTGTTTAAGAGTGTTTATAGAGTATAGGGGGAAATTCCACCCACAAATGAGTGGAAAACTGTTGCATGTAACTTATTATTGCCCCAATTTTATTCATTTTTCCTCGGGCGTAAAACCGTAAGAGTTAGGGAGCTGAAATTTGCACTATAGTTATTTTTCATGACGGAGGGCAGGCTAAGACAGGAGGAAAAATGGTTGTATACAAATTTTGTGTTTTTATTACCATTATTTATTTTCATTTTCCAATATCTATGTAAACTAAACCGTTGAACGTGGAGTTCAAGGACGGCAAATGGTTATAAAACTACTGCCTTAAATTATGATGCAAAGAATTTGGACTGGGTAGGGCCAAGATATACCAGGTAGTACATATATAGTATATATGATCATTATATACATATCATGATTAGAAACCTGTGCGAAACACTTAAATGGTAAGGGCGTAATTTTCTGGCAACTATTTTATATTATGCCGCACAAATTGAGTTTCTAACAAAACGCGCGTAACCGAAATGGTTATTTGTTATGATATTTCTTGCTGCATCCAAATTTCGCCAACTGAGTAAAAGAAACGATTCGAAGATCAGTCAATGTGTGACTCTTTTTTTATCATATTATTATTAAGCTAGGCTAGGCTAAAAACTACGCTGGCCATCACAGTAGACGAAGAGAACAATGCCATGCGCACTGTTGATGTTTTGCATGGCATTATTTTTGTTTGCTATGACAGAAATACTAGCGCATTTGCTTATATCAAATTCGACTTAAGTCGCTGACTGATCCCAATTTATTTTACTTTTAAAAAGAACTTTGAAGAATTGATTTAAAATGGTTACACTTAGTTTTTTTTTACAATCAATATAAGGATAACACATTTTATATCTGTTGGTATATGTTATTTATCCATTGCAATTATTAAATTGACTATATTTACATATGTGCATTTCAACCTCTCAAGTGTTTTGAAACTTATTGAGTTATATACTTACTGAAACTAAATTTAAGTATTTTAATTGCCGTTGATTTATTGTCGGTGAGTTACTATTCTTGTACACTTTCTCTCAACTACCGAACCGTCTGAATTAACCAATTTGTATTTCTTTTGACCACGAACACACAAACTTTATATAGGTATGTCTGTATATTTTGGTTTAAGCAAAACATCCACAGCAATAGCCAACGGTTATTTGGCGTAATACTTTTTTAATTTACACATGGTAATACTCCTTTTTTAAAAATATTTTCACAGTTTTAACGTTTTTTTTTAATTCACATTTCTAAATTTAATTCTCTCCAGGCTTTGTTCGTGATACCGTCGTGAACGCCATCTTTGTTCTCTTCGTGCGTCATTCTCAGTGTTGTATTTTGAACGGTTTCGATAGAATATACAAATCGATTATTAATGGGCAGGCCCTCTTGAACACAATAAATAAGAGCGGTGTTCTCTCTTCATAAATTAATATATATTATGTTTATCTTTATTAATTTAATATATGTATATGTTTTTTATATATTTATTGGTATTTAAATATTTCAATAAGAAAAAGAAAAGAAAAGAAAAGATACAAACAGGCATAAACCTTAGTGGAGAAAACCTGCTTAAGTACAAATTAAATTTCAATTGAAGGAATGGCAACTGTGTCTGTCTAAACGTGCCATTATGCACTCGCGTTTGTAATCACATGTATTCAAACGTTTTTTGCAAATGCTTTATTTCTTTTTCCCGCGCCTGCTGACATATCGGTTATCAAGGGGTGGTTCAATCCATGCGCCGCAGTTCGCAAAATCAATATTTAGTACCTGTACCGAACAGAATTATACAATACTTCTGTTAAACACCAAAGAAATACACAACAGACAACGAAAATAATAGCGCTGATGTATTTATTTATTAAGTGAGAATAGTTCATATCATTATTTTATACATATATAGTCATTCTTAATTCCCGTAACAGTCAAATATTTTCTATAATTATGTAAGCAAAGGACATAAATGATAAACAACCAAAGACGTTTTGTGTTAAACTTTTTAGATATTACCTTTCCACAAAGTACACGCCCGTGTAAAATTAAGGTAATATAGAGCTTTGCAAATAAGTTTTGAATCGCATTTCTACCAAAGAAACTTGAGTTCTGCGAAAAGTGTGAAATACGTCTCAAATGATTTTTTATATGAAACCTTGAAAATTTCCACCAAGGAGGGATAGATTTTTCAAAAAGTGCGAAACATCTTGACAAACATTTTTGAAGATGTGTTTGAAGCCGATCGATTGGTTAGCAAAAGACTTACATGCAACCGTTTCTCGCTAACTAACCAATGTAGTGGGTGGAATTTAAATAATCACTGAAACACGTTTCCATTAAGTTCTTACGTAGACCTATATAAATATAAATAAGTTTGAAGCAAATCGGCTAAATCTAAAACTTTGCCCAAAAAATCTTTGAATCGCATTTTGCACCGACGAAGCTTCGACTCTGCGAAAAGTGTGAACCACGTCCCATCCAACTGATCGAGAAGCATAGCGTTCAACTTAAGTCGCGGAGAACAAAACTGATATTAACTAAGACTATAAACTAATAATATCAACTTAAAAAACAGTAGAAAATAGAATAATAAATGTGATAAAGAGAAGACTCCGAAGAGAATACCCTGTAGTGCTTATTGTTATAATCACAAGGGGCACGGTATAGTTTGCTGGGCAAATTTTAAAAGATAAAGGATTAATTTATTTGGCTAGTCAACTCAGTGAAGTTGGCTTTGACCGTGATTATCTTATGAAATATTAAGCCACGCATAATTCTATGATTACTTAAAGAGAGGAGATTAATGACTAGTGGTCTCCTAGAGAATGATATCAAGCGAACACCAAGATTATAGTTAAAAGCAATTCTTTCTGTACATTTCCAAAACGGTCTTGATTAATCGATTATATTGGGGACCAGATACATAAAGTCAAGAATAGATCGGAAAAGAAATACATTGAGTTGTGAAACCCATAGGAGTTAAGGCCCTATTCACATCGGTGTACGCCACAACTGAAAGGTTTCAATGTCATCAATTGCAGAATGAGACAATATCATTAATGAAAAGAGTACAGAGTAGCTGACTAGCTGGCTCAGAAAAAATCATAATATGTTTTGCTTTCTTTGTAATCTTTTAAATGAATCAGGCACGCAATATCTTTTACCCTTTCATTATTAAATTGTAATAAGGCGAGCGAAATGCTTACTTATTGTGTAACATCACCGGTGGCCTCATGCACTAAGCGTATAGTGTAAACGTGTAGTGTTACTTATTAAAACTAAAAACAAATACAAAAAAAAAAAATTTTGACGGTCAAGAGTTCCTTCTTTTTTTTTTATTATTAATTTTTTTTTATTTTGTAGAACTGTGCAACGAAGATGCCTGAATAAGGTAAAGCGAGAGGAAATTCCCACACCATAGATCGCTGCTCATATATACTTATAAATTTCTTTTGTAACATTTAGTAGCAGCGGTCCTACTCGTCGTCCACATTGGGCCCAACGTCTGCTCGAAGGATATACCTGTCTATTAATTAGCATCATGCTCGAGAACAAACAACTCATTAATACAGCAGTTATATTAGCTTATCTGATATAATGCCCGAATTCCTTGATTTTTATTTGCCAAGTTAGCCGCTTGCAGTTTATAGTGATGATTTAAGAGCCTGAAATAGGGACAAGCATCCGCATAAAATTCATAATATCACCAACACCTTAGTTCTCTCAGTGAAGCAAAATTTATTAGTTTCAATTTGGAAGTTCGGTCGGAACACAGTAATTGTACACATATTAAGAGCTTGCTGTTTGACGGATTTATTAAAATAAATTTTTTTGGTAAGTGCAGAAGGGAAAGCATAACTTCGTCCAGTCCAACGAACTATTGACCGAGCAAGAAGTGCGCACCTCCAATCCCTATGCACCCGGTTAGGCATAAGCCACGGCCGTTTATTTTTTTTTTGTGCATGGTCAAACAAAAACAAAACTTAACCGAAAGAACCCATTAGCGAGAAAATAAAACTTTAACTTTTTGCATTAGCACGACTAGCCCCTAGTGCACAACAGTCCCCAATCCAAATTCGAAGTTAGATCATACCATCCACTACCTTTTATCTTTGAACTACCCCATGCGCCCAGGTCGAATCCTCAGTCGGATGCTAGGCCACTTCCAAATGCTTCGGAACAAATCTGGAAATGGGGTATGGGGCCATCATAGGCCGCTCCTACCCCCTTGGATTTCTGGAGAACCTCGAAGAGCGGGCCATCACCTTAGGCAACGCCCTCGATCGCATGCCTAGGGCAATGAGCGAAGTATTCCTGAGTATTGGAGCGGATTCTTAGAATTTTTCCTGCCCATGTGCTATTTCAAAAGGCTCGTGGATGAAATCCGGTCCCGCGAGCAGCGTGGAGGCAAAGAATTCAAGGAGCTCTATCATATATAGAGCTACGGCCTTTAATGCATCACGCCAGGTATAATACGGCGCATGTCTTACGCCGGACATATGAAAATGGCGTCCCCGAATACATGCTCTACCTGAGATCTGAGATCTGGTAGCGCAGATCTGGGGAGGATAGTTCAGCCCAAGGGTCGAAACCCCAGCCCGTTCTGGTTTCTGCCCAGTGGGCCTCGAGCGGCGGGTAGGAATGGAGGTTGCTCATTGAATGATGAGCCAAAAGGCTGGAACAGGGTTCGATCCGCGATGGGCATATCACATTTGTGCACAGGAAGGGAAATCTGCGTGGGAAATCATGACGCGCATGTCATGTTCTCTTGGGTATATGGGAAGCCAGGACTGGGTAACAGAGTATCTATGACCTTTAATCGTACTACACCTTATCTTGCTAGTTATACAATTGACAATACCCCATTACAACGTATTATAAATGTTAAGGATCTAGGCGTTCTTTTTGATTCTAAACTCAGTTTCAATCTGTACATAGATACCATCGTTGATGAAGCAATAGGTGTACTTGGATTCATTAAACGATGGTCTAAAGAGTTTTACGATCCTTTTATAACGAAACTTCTGTACATCTCTCTTGTTCGCCCTATCCTTGAATACTGCTCTTGCAACTGGTCTCCGCAGTATAACAATAGCTAGGATCGTATTGAATCTGTTCAGAAGCAATTTCTGCTTTTTTTTTTTAAATTGGGACCGCAATCTTCGGTTTCCATCCTACTCCAGCAGACTGCTTCTTCTTAATCTTCCGTCGATAACCAACCGTAGGACAATTGTCGGTGTTCTCTTTCTTCATAAGTTGATTGTTGGCGATATAGATTCTCCTTTTCTGCTAGGGCGTTTTCAATTCTCTGTTCCTTCTAGACCAACCAGGAATTATCACCCCTTATTCTTATCTACGTGCACAACAGACTACGCTATGCACAATCCTTTTCGCGTGTTATGTAAAAATTACAATAGTTTGCATCACGTTTTCTCTACCGAACGTTCTCTACCCCTAATAAAATCATTGCTGTCAGGGTACCTTCGGGAACTCACTGACCATTCCTAGCTATGAGCAGAGGCATAGTTTGCCGGACAGGCTTTACTTTACATTACATTATAAATTTTCCACCACCGGGTCGGTGATTTCCCATTACTATCTCTTTACCCTATCTACTTAACACTCTATATATATAATATACTTTACATTACTTTATTAACTACTCCTTTCTTTCTTTTTTCCTATTTATTGTATTTTCCTTAATAACATAGTAAATTAAGATTATTTTTAATTTTACTGAACAACACTATTTTCTTTACTAACAGCCTTCTTCTTAGCTGTAGGCTCTAATAGTGTTACTGACAAAATTGACTGTGAAAAAGGGCACAGCTGGCCGGACTGGTAAATAAAACACCTCCATCGGTTGGTAATGCTATTAGAAAATTGCGTTCTCTAACTAGGCTTTTAGCATTTAATTTTCATAAAGTATGTATAATGTATTGAATAATTAGGAAGACACTCGTCTTGTCGACCATTAATAAAATAAAACAAAAAAAAGATTAGATTCTCAAAAGATCAGAAGAACGCGTTTGATCCATCATTTTGGAGCACAACGTGAGAGCTAGTGTGTGTGGAAATTGACGGCACATCGTTGTGGCACATTATTTCGATTCGGAAAGGTTTCGTCGAACTCTTCGCAAAATACAGCAACATTTGGCCAACTGCATTGTCTTTCGGCGTTCTGGAGCCGTTACAATTGGCATGCCTTCAACCACGCGGTTTTTTTTCTTTATACTTCATTCTCGCTGCCGTCACTTCACGCTGGATACGCTCTGACTTTGATTGCTCGCTACCTTTGCTTCACTGCTTCAT